ACGAGAATTGGCCTTCTGATTCCTACTATAAATATTATTAACGAGAATAGCGAAAGTAACTCTCTGTTACGCTTTCACGGCTGAACTCATTTTAATGAAATTTGGCATGGAGATACTTTGATTCTTGAGGGCTTTTAACCGTGATACACGCGGTAGACGCCGGCAAAAGCTTTAAGTTGACGACGGTATTAGCGATATTCGCATGCATCAATATGTACCTATGTTGACTTTTATTATGCCTACTATGCGTATTAGAATAGATTAGAACAAAATTATTATTTTTTAACAAGATAATATCCGCGCTACGAATGACTCCTGGCTCGTAGAGAATTCTACAAACATTGAAATAACGTACACAAATAATATCCATTTTTACGCCCTTTTTATAAACTTATCATTTTCTTTTTCTTGTATCACGACATAAACTTACAAATATGTTTCAAGAGTACTTGTAAAACTATTTAAGAAAATAACATGTTCAAAAACATGTATACACATATACAGTTTTTTTCATTGAATATCTTCACTTTTTTATAATGCCTACAGAGTGTCTAGTGTGGATATATTTGACATCTATTCGATCGTTATGGTAACGGCCACCGACATTTTTGTTACTATTGGCTCGTACTGAAATCTTTATCAATCGCAACCGCTCCGGCGCACGCGCTCTCCGTCGATAGCGAGTTGATATGAAATAAACTATCAGACTTACACTAGGCTCTCTGGACAAGAATTAAATCATTAAAAGTAATGCATCGTCGTCATCCTGGCAAATCATGATAACATTTCAATAAAGAATTCAGCCAAAGATATACTTTATTTAATTCTTTAAAAAAAGGAACTCGTTTATTGACTGGCATCCGCAAACTCTTATTTGTGTGTTCTCTTGTCATCGTTAATCACCGTATTCTGATATATAAAAAAGTTCAAAAACTCTTAACCTACAATATTTAAAGACAACCAAAAATATTAAAAATCTATGATCACAATGTAACAAATACTGTCATGTCACTTTTTACAACAAAAATGTCATTGTTTTGTGCAAATTTATTGTGAAGTCGTTTTTTCGTTTATTGTTTATTTGGAACAAAAAAATTTTCAGGTATGTAAACAATTTTTATTACTTCACCACTTGTGCTAGTTTCGATAATTATGCGAAAAAAAGAACGGCTGCTTTTCTCGAATTTTACCAAAGAAATCCTGCAGCAAATAATTTTGTTCAATTAATGATTGTACCTTTACGTTCGTAACTTGTAAAAATACTTCCATACTGTTTACACATTGAAATTAGTAAAATGTTATCGTTTATTTTAAACTTTCTCCCTTTATCCAGGATCTATTCCATTTCAATAGTACATTTTCAGGTGCATTTTTACCAAATTTAGCAAACTTTCCACTAGTACTGACTATATTGTATTATAAATGACCATCAATTACCGAAAAGGAATTATTTAACTCAACCGTGGGTTTTTTTAAATAATAATCAATATTTAATAAGTGTATGTCATACAGATATACAAATTTTATCTATATATATATATATATATATATATATATAAGAGATTTCCACGTATATAGTCACTCATCACGATATCTCTGGAACCATTAGAGCTAAAGACTTGAAATTTGGTAGGAATATTCTTTTCACCGAGTAGAGGTTAGCTAAGAACGCATTTTAAGAAATTCAAAAAAATATATATTTAAATAATGTATATAGCAAAACAACGTTTGCAGGGTCAGCTAGTATGTTATAATTATTATTCACTGTAACAGCTCTTATTGACTTACCAACGCTCTATAACATTATAATGGAGTTCTGATAACGATCGACAGCTGTTATTCATCTGATCACAGATCTCTCTCCATTTATAAATCACGCGAGGAAACATGATAATCGAAATTAGAATCTCTAATAACATGTCTGCTATGCAAGCCGACATGCCCTGGAGCATGCGTGATGTTTGTGAGCCATAACACAGAGTTCAGAAGAAGTTATAGTTCAGAAATTCCATTGGATAAATCTCTTATATAAATAACAACTTTAATTTTGACAAAATAAAGTTCAATTCGGATGTAATCAGGTAATCACACAATATTCGCCAAGAACTTTTCGTCTTTCTATAGCTAACTGAATTTACGTTCGTTTTGACAACATTTAGGGATTGCATTTCTTTACCTTTGAATACATTTTTTGATATTGTAAAAACGAGAAAAATGAATTGTTGTTATTATTTAAGTAAGTGAATATGATGCTATATGCTTTTGCCTTCAGTATAGTTAGGTAATTTACATCGAAGAACGCCACACAGAACTTAAGTGAGTATTGAACAAACGTACGTTACGTCAGTCACACACGCCCTTTTTCTGTGCGGATACCACCACCCACTGGTGGTTATGTCGGACTCGAACCGACTAAAAACCGAACGCCGTCTCGGGTACCAATTGCTGGGGAACCAGGTGTAACCTAGGAAGGAAATCTCTGATACCCCGACGTACCTCGGGCCACCCCTATGTCCCCTTTGTGCTCCCGAAAGGGCGCGCGCGTTCCCTTCGGGAGCACAAAGGGCCACCCCGGCCTACTTCTGCTAGGGTGACAGATGGCCTCACCTGCCACACCCAGGCCTGCGCTTATGGAGAGCGGAGGTCGACGATACCCCTTGTATTGTAGCACCATACGCTGTACATACTTATAGTTTTATAAGCTAATCATTATGTCCATTTACTAGTGCCTTGACTCTCATATATGTAAGATTTTTTATTTCTTGATAAATATTTAAATAACAACGAGCTTAAACAAAATTAACCTAACCATTGGATTTATACAACGTTGTCTTACAATCAGAATACCTACTCAAAATTAATTGTATGTTATTCATTCAGTTTCAATATAATATTATAAAACTCCAAAAAAATACCAAGTATGTTGATATTATTAGCACAAGTCTATTTTGGGCATAAGTACACATGCATAATTGTGTTATGTATTTATAAATAGAGACAAGTGACGTCACAATTATAACTACAAATTACATACACTGTGACTGGTAGGTACCGAGATTATCGCGTTTTAACAGACTCACAAAAAAACTCTTTAGATAAGTTTAAATTTAAAATCATTTTAGTAACCCAAAAAGACATTTAAGTCGATTTCGCTTAGAATTAATATTCAGTGTTAAAATACATTAAATTATCATTAGATTATCATTATCAGAACTACTGTATCTCCATAAAGTTATTCTGATGTTTACATTTTATAGTTTTTATATGAACTTGAACAAATAAAAATCGAACATTTAAGAACAATTAATACCCTGGTACGATATGTACGTATTTTCTTTATGGATTTAACTTTCTGATACCATTCGTTCCTCAAAGAAAAAAAACAAAGAGAGACACTGTCTTTCGACCAGTCATCAAGTTCATGTAGTGAAAAATGACCGAAAAAAATTCTATACCTTCAGTTGAACAATCATTTAGATCACTTTGTAAAATAGAGGTTTTTTTAAAGCGGATAAACCCTATACTGATTTGCCACTTCATCACATCATCATCATCACATCAAGATCCTTTAATAGTCCACTGCTGGACATAGGCCTCTCCTTAGAAGGGAGGTTTTGGCCTACTATACCACGCTGGCCAGACGGGTCGGTATAGGATTTGTGTCAAGTTTTCCTTCTCTTTGCAGTGCTGTTGTTCTGCGTAGTTTTCTCCCTCATGAGGATGATGGGACGAATAGGGGTGGTGACACCCTGTATTCTTAATCTGTCACTACACGGACCCACCCAAATGGATTTTCCACGTCATTTATATAAAATAGAAAATACACAGTCAATGCAACAAATTAAAATATACTTATAAAGATAAGAATTACAGGCATTATTTAACTCATGGTCAAGTAACACTTTGAAAATCACGTGTTATACACATGTGTACAACATAAACACATTTAATATATGTGTATATTGTGTCTACAACACATAAGTTATGTTGTGTTGTCTAACTGATTATACAATCACTGTCAATAAGATACGGACCCTGTCATAACTCTTATTTATAAACTACTCACAGTGTTGCCAGACTATAAATGGAGTTTATTTATAAATTGTAGACTGTTTGGCGACTAAAACACCCACATAAAAGTCTGTGACAAGTGTAATCGTCATATTTAGTGTCCTTTTCCCAATTTTATATGGGAAAAGCGCAATGTTTTACATTAATAATGTTTTTTATTGGTTTATTTTATGGCCGGTTGACTACCTAACGACAATCATCCTTAAGTTGGAAAATTAGGGTGAAGAAAACGAATAGGATAAAGGATTCCGCAACACTTGGGAAAATAAAGTAAAACCTGTCGGGGAACAGAACTACTCAAAATGGTCGTACGCGATAAGCGTAACAGATTTTCCACAATTTTCTAATCACAGTTTAGAACACTTGGCGGCTGCCTTGTATATGTTGCATGAATAGTTCATTCGCTATCGCTATTGTTTGTTCACTGGTTCTATTCCCAGTTTGGACAGAGAGTCTTAGTAAAGTGCACGTTACTACGAGTACGTCCATTTTGAGAGTGATAGCTTATTCCTATAACGTATTACTAAATATGGGTATTTAATACAGCTTATAATTTATCTATCAAAAATAAGACAGATTTATAACCTAAAAACACGTGTTTTATAAAACTTTTAGTATTTTAATCGTACTGTGTCCACTGTTATTTACTACTTAAACAGAATAAAATTAAAAAAAAAAACATATCATTGATTTAACACATTTACACACTAATCGGACTTTTTTAAATATTAGTTAAGTATTCAGAACTTTTTTTCAAAGTGTACATAACTACTTAGCACAAAAAAAAAATTATAAGTACACAATTTTTAAGAGACCCCCGCTCTAAGCTAGTTAAAATTTTATTCTGGTGTTATTAATATTTATTGAACTAAATAAATAAACTAAAAAAATCACCATAGTAATGCTAATTATTATTTAAAAAAACTCACCGCAACAGCTAATATAGCCAAACGTAGCATTTTCAAATGTCGAATTTCGTGGGCCTGCACTTTAACTATTCTCACTTATTCAAATATACAGAGGCATTGTGCGCCGGCGCATACCTATATACCGTCGCAGCCTCCTATGACGTCACGCTCCCCCGCGCCCCGCTAAACCTGCTTTAAGACCCATCTTCGCGACATTTGACCTTCGTTTCACGTACATTGATGATTTTATGCGTAGATTTTTTCGTTTTTTACAAACCGTCGATGTATGAATAATTGAGGCTAGCAAGGGTTGTTATAGTTTTGCTTGACTAGGGCTTGATGTAGGAATACCAAGAGAGTAGAGAATTTGTTTTTTTTTTTTTAATAATTGTCACGAGTATAAATCATTTGTCAAAAAGGAAGTAGCTAGTAAAATAGTCAATTAAAATATATATGTATTTTTTTTTATTATCAAACTTACATCTATTATTACAGGTATTATGTAACCTAGAACTTCATTATCGTAATAGAAGTTAAAACTAAACATTGGAAACTTAGAATGATATTTCAAACACCACATCAACAGCCTTTAAAAGTCCACTGCTGGGCATAGGCCTCTCCTTAGAAAGGAGGTTTAGCCTACTATACAACACTGGCTAGACGTGTTGGAATAGGGTTAGTGTCAAGTTTTCCTTCTCTTTACAGTGCTGTTGTCCTGCGTAGTTAACTCCCTTAGTCGGCTCTTACGACACCCACGGGATGAATAGGGGTGGCGACCCTCCGTATTCTTAATCCGTCACCACACGGACTTTCAAACATACCTAAGTTTGAATATAATTTAAACTAAACATTATTTAAATTTAACCAGCCGTTCGTGTGTTCATTTGTGATATATAAATATGTAAATTGACTGCAAAAACAATCAAATTCTGTAAAACTCTATTTTGGTTATGTAAAGAGAAAATATTGTGCATTTATGCTATATTATCTTTTTATTTCAGTAGTTTCAGGCTGTATGAAGTGGCTACGAATGTTCTCTATAAATCGATAGTTGTCCGTGTGGTGACGAATTAATATGGAATGTCACCACCCCTATTCATCATGTGGGTGCCGTAAGAGCCGACTAAGGGGGCAAACTATGCAGGACAATAGTACTGCAAAGAGAAGGAAAATTTTAAACAAACCCTTTTTTTTTTTTTTTTTTTTTTTTTTTTTTTTTTTTTTTTTTTTTTTTTTTTTTTTTTACGTGTGGAAATCCCCTCGGACCGTCACCCCTCCGGGGTTTGCGGCAGGGTGGTGTGTCGGACTCGGACCGACTAAAACCACACGGTGTGCCACTCTGCGCCTGTAATAGGAGGGATCCGGGAACAGCTGTTGTTAAGACATCCGGACCCCTCCTAGCGCCAGCCCGCTCCTGGTGCGGGCTCCCCCCCCTGCTGTCGCACGCACGTGTTGGTGGAGCCTCTGTTTAGAAGACAGAGGCCCACCGAGGCTGCCCACTCCTCTACGGCCTCGCCCCTGGCGTCCGTCCTGGGGGAACCCCACGCAATGGACTTTGCGTTGAAGTCCCCCAGCACAAGGACGTGCCCAGACGCTAGTCGCCGTATCGAGGTCTCCAAGCTGGTTAGGAAAACCTCGAAGTCGTTCAAACTCCGGTTGGGGGAGAAATAGACACCATATATGGTGATCCCCCCCCCACTCGACGGCAACATATCCAGTGCCCTTGTCTCTTAGCGACAAGGGCGGGGAATGAGCCGTCGTGGAACCGACGACTGCCACGGAGCCGTCCCAGTCACCCATCCAGTTTGGACGGGGAGGGACAGAATAGGGCTCCGCGACTACGGCAACACCTATCGACCACTGTGCCATGGTTTGCAGGAAGAGATCCTGCGCCGCGGCACAGTGGTTCAGGTTCGTCTGGACCAGGAGGCTGGAGACCCGATCCATTACTGGATCGTCTCTACAGCCTCCTCCATGGGCGACGACGTCGACGCACGAACTACGTCGGAGGCAGCCTGGGTCGACTGGCTAGCCCCCGATGCTTGCTGAGAGATGCGGGGAGGCTTGCAGCCCCCCTGCCCCATCTGGTGATTGGCGGGCTTGTTACCCGCCGCACACACCGGGCAGTGAGGGGCGGCAGAGCATTCGACCGCCACATGCCCCGGTCGACCACAGCGGAAACAAAGTCCGCTGCAGTCGAAGCAGCTTTGGCACTTGACGCGCGTGTGCCCCGATGCTAGGCATTTGTAACATCTCATCGGTCTCGCCGCCAGGACTGTGATCCTGGCGCTCACGAAACCGACGAGCAGCCTGCCGGCGTCGGCCAATACTTTGGCCGACGCTACGGGACAGCTGACCCACACGGCGCCAAGCCCTCCTGGACCGGGGCGGATGGTGCCGACCCTGACGTTGTCCGCGCTGCACCCCGTCTTCTCCCGGATTACAGCGCGGACATCTTCGGCCGTCACAGAGTCGTCCAGGCCCGAGATGCGCAGCTCCGCGCACTTGGTAGGCCTGGCGATCTTGACACCATCTGTGGTCGCGAATAGACCCCGCAGCCTCTCAGCGAAAGTGTCCGCCGTCTTGGCGCCTTCAGCCCCTGGGAACTCGAGAACTCGAGCTCCCGTTTGGGCGAGGCGCATCTTCACCCCCGCCGTCCCAAAGTCGTTGGCGAGGCTGTCCCGGGCCTTTTTGAAGACGGCCGCATAGGACAGCCCGCCGTCAGCCGCCTCCGGGGACACGGTCACAACTACCGCCGCGGTTTTGGGCGGCTGCAGCTTCCGCGGCCTCTTTGCAGAGGCCGTTGTCACCGGTGGCGAAGGCTGGGCTTGGGCTGCTTTCTGGGCAGCCTTTCTGGCCCGCCTTCGGGACTTCTTGGAGCCCCTCGCCTCCTGCCAGCCCTCGTTGGAGGGGGCAGGTGCGGAGGGGCCCGGCAGGGGTGTCGGAGTGGGGAGCGGAGGGAATGCCACTCCGCTCCTCGGCGCCGTTTTAGGCCCCGTCTTGGCCGGCGCCTGGGGATGTGCCTTGGCCGGCGCCTTAGCCGGTGCCTTGGCCGGCGCCTGGGCCGGTGCCTTGGCCCCCCTCCTCGGCTTTTGGGGAGCCGATGGAGTCGGGGCAGACGCCGCCGCCGCGTAGGAGACGCGGCCTCCCACTACGGGGAGCGCGGTCGGAGCGGCGGCCTTAGGCCGCTGTGTCGACGCGAGCGGGGGGCGCATACTCGGCGCAGGAGGCAATCTCGCCTCCAGGCCAGCCAGGCGTCCGTCCAGCATATTCCCAACTGCGATGAGGATTTCTCGCAGTTGGGAGTCAAATGCCCCTGAGTTGGTGGTAGGGGCAGGCTGGGACGCGGACGGGGCTTCCCGCTCGGGGAGGTTCGCCTGGAAGCGGGCGAACTGAGCGCTCAGCTCGTTCACACGCTCCGTCAGCTTCTCGTTGGCCACCTGCAGGCGAGAGACGTCGCCCGCTAGGCCCTCCACGACCTCCGACAAAGCGGAGGAGGAGTCCTTAAGGGCCCTCACAAACGAGCCCTTAAGGTTCACGGATTTGGTGGCCACCTTGTTGATGACGGCCACCGCCGCTTTCGCCCTCTCCTGCACGGACACGGGAGCCTGGGGGGCATTTCCCCCCACCGGCTCCCGAACCTTGAGCAGGAGATCCGCGATCTCCTCCTCCGCTACGGCCTCGCCGTCCACCCGTACGTTCCTGTACGACTCCGCGTTGGAGAACGCGGAGCCTGACGGGGTTGAGACCGGGGCCGAGGCCGGTTTGCGAGCCCTCCCTCGGCGGCTGCTTGCCACCTTTGGTGGCATCATCTCCTGGGACGTGTCGGTTTCCTCGTCCCTGGAGCGTCCTCGTTTCCGGCTGTCGCTTCGCTCCGCCTCCATGGCCTCCACGCCATCCGACGAAACGGCGGATCCGGAGCGCAGCCGATCTGATGCTCTTCGGCTCCCAGAGATCAGCGTCAGACTGACTTCTGGGAGCCCCACCGAGATAGGCGTTCCCGACGCTATCTCCCCCTCCGTGGATGACCCATCCACTCCACTGTTCCTCTTCTCCTTCGTATCAGAGTCCGTTTTGCTTGCCTGTTTCTGTTTGGTTTGTATTGGTTGCCGTTTCTTTATATTTTTGTTGTTATGATCCATAATAAATCCCACGATTGGGGGAGAACTAAAGGTCCACCCGGGCAGAGATCCCCCATTACCCGGGCAAGCGTAAGTTTTTAACCCAACCGAGGGGTCCGCAGGTACCTCGGCTTGGAGTGCGCTCGCGACTGAACTTCCCATCAGCCATGCATCCCCTGGCCACGCACCAGAACACGGGATTCGGGGAATTTTTTAGAGAGGTTATCTTCCTCGCGGTCCGGGCGGTTAAGCCAAGACCCTCGCCCCCGATCAGAGCCGCGAGACTTAACCACAGCGCTCTTCTCGGGATTACGATATGCCGACGGTTGACAGGGAGACTACGTCCCCCTGCCTGCTCGGTGGTAGTGTGAGTACACGCCGAGCCCGTCCTCCTTTCTCCACCGCTATCAGCGGAGAAACTGTGGCCCCTACAGGGCCCCGCCATCAGGTTTTTTTACCGAGGTTTCCTCCTCCATGCTCCGAAGAGCGAAGAGCCAGCAGGGCAACCGGCAGACACGCCCACCCTGCTGGACCAGGCCTTGCCCGAGAGCCGATGAACGGCTGCCTCTTCTGCTAGAATATTGGCCGCTGGCGATAATCCTCTCCTCCAAGAGGACAAGGAGGAAACAGTACCATCGCCAGCGTTTCCAGGGTGCACCACGAGGAGGTTTTCTAGCCCAGCACCCCAAACAAACCCTATACCAACCCATCTGTATATCATGTTGTATATCGTGTCAAAATTTGAGCTGAATCGGTCCAAAACTTTTTGAGTTTTTGAAGTATACAAAACTAACTTAACATTTTTATATTTATAAATATCTCACTCCTTAGTTTATTTTACTATCCATCATCATCATTATCAAAATTGCCGTTAATAGTCCACTGCTGGACATAGACCTCTCCTTAGATCAGACTCAGGTGGGTTGGTAT